GGAAGGAAGGAAGGAAGGAAGGAAGGAAGGAAGGAAGGAAGGAAGGAAGGAAGGAAGGAAGGAAGGAAGGAAGGAAGGAAAGATTTCCAATATGTACTAAGTCAGACAACTTGTGTTTTTGGTTTTAGGAAGTTTTAAGGTAGCAGATCGTTTAAATTTCTCCCACACAAATAATACAGGAAATAGCAGGAAAAAAACTAGGGATAGTCAATAATTAAACAAAGTTTGGTTGAAGTTTTGTGTGTATGGGGGGGGGAGATTTCTAATCAGTGCAAGATTTTTAGCTGAGATCCCTTCGCTGTGATTGATCACTCATTTGCCTGTCCTTAAAATCGGGAGGCTGATGGCTGCCTCTGTCCCACCACTCTCAAACTTGGTAAACAGGTAGTGGACACCAAAGGGAAGATGGAATGATGATGATAATGATGATCGAAAAAATGGGAATATCCTTCATTATTTTCAAGGAGACACCAATGTTCTCCCATACCCTAAAATATTTCACGTGAATGGACGATGCCAGCTTTCTCAACTTGATTTCCTTCCCTACCATAGCCAGTATTGGAGAAACCAGGTCAGGAAGACTCATCCACCCTGAATGACAACACAATTCTCCCCAAAGTATCAGGCAAGATTCTTTCTCAGCTCTATCCAAAGAGGCCAGGGAGTCCTTTGCATGCAAAGCACCAACCTGCAACCCTTCCGTAATGCAGAGGGGGATTAATACATATCCTCATTGTATTGTGTCCTTACAGCAGCTCAGTGAGTCATGCTAAAGTAGAACACCTTGCATAAAGCTACCTAAACTTGCTTCATAGTTGGCTGGAACTTGAACCCATGCCCATGTTCAACCCTTGACTGAGAAACACACACCTGCCCCATCCCTATCACCCTTCTCTTTCGGTGAGATGGTGTGTGTGTGTGTTCTCTCACTCACTCATTCACTGATTCATTCCTCCAGACATTCATTCATTCCACGACTGGGGAAACCAACAGGTGAAGTCTCTTCCTGGAGTTTCTTGAGGTTCTTGGCAACTGTATGGATCGGCTACCTTTGCCTTCTTCCACCATGTTCTTCACCTTCTGCATCCAGGTCCTATCTTCGTGGCCTCCCACTGAAGTATTAACCCCACTTAGCTTCCAAGCCCAGACACTGTCCGCCAAGGGCTGCCTTTTGCTATGAGGAGGATCTGTGTGGATTTTATTTTTCATCACAAATCAAAACTTCCTGGCCTATACCTCAGCCCTCAAAGCTGTGTTTGAGATTTGCTCTCTTGAGAAATACTGAATAGGGGGGATTGGCTGCCATCTCCTAAACCCGACAGAGTGATGCAAAACATTCCAAAGATATGACTAGTCAGATATTGGGGGCAGTATGTGTGTCACACATGAGCTATGTGCGCTGGGTTCTTCGCCTGTTATCACAGTGGATCGATACAATGAGAGCAAACTTTTCCGCCCTAAATTGAGAGGAAACGTTTCAGGACAGCTGAAGGGGAGAAATGTAACGTTTTAACAATGATCTCCCCCCCCCCCACCGCACACACACTCATGCACACAAATACAGGATGTTGTGGTTGTATTTGGAAAGTATATTTACTAAGGAATCTGAGTTAATTAAAAAGGAATGCCTTTTTTTTATACAAGGGGAAGACTACATATATAGCTGCTTGGTTTCTACCTGGAGCTTCTGAAAATCAAAAGGAGAGAGGAGAGGAGAGGAGAGGAGAGGAGAGGAGAGGAGAGG